TAGTGAAGAAAATGTTACGATTTTCTGAGAGATGCCTAAACAATCTAGTCTATTTCTAATATAAAACGCTCCTGAACCAGAGCTATCGGCGGCTCGGCCGCCAGCGGCAGGGCGGTAGTGAGGGGACAGGAGGCGTCGTCTCCAGAATCGGCCCGAAATGTGCAACTAATTCCGAGCGCTGGTGTAAATCGTCGCTAAATTCGTGCTGAAGATCTTTGTGTATTTGCAAAATGTAATGTTGCCGACATAGCATTTGGCTTAAAAGACCAAAATGTTCCCGACTAGATGCAGCGCAAGCTGAATGTATGATGGACAAAATAACCAATAATTCAACGCATACACTCAAAGCACAAATTAAAATAAATTTTTGTGTGAGACGTTATAAAACGTTACATTTATTGTATACAAAAAAAACTTCATTTACATTACTATGTGTAAAATTGTCATTAATATAACGCTGTGAAGTATGCGCGATGAATTACGTGTAATTTGGCAGTAAAGTGTAAACCATGCGATAAAGTCATCAAAAGCCAATTGAATGTTTAAGCAGAATTCGTAATAAATTATGGCGATTATACAATGGCATAGTCGCATGATGCATGGAGTAAACATCTTCCGAGTCGCGGTGTGCAGACAATCGATCAGCAAAAGAAATGTAGTAAAGATAAGGTAATCAAAGACAAGTAACGTTCCCGACGAGGAATACTTCGCAACATGCACGGAACGAGAGAACCCCGGGTCGACACGCGAAATGTTCGATCAGCACATCGCTGAATGCACGGCGATAACCACTGTACACCAGTGCTAATTGCAAAAAAAAAAGAAAAATAATAACGCGAGTCATTCAGTTGCGAAGTTTTATATTTACGAAAATAAACATTCTTGAAATCTCTTTCAAGTCTGCTTCTCGAATATTCCATGAAACAATATTTGTCGAATAATTATATGCAATAAGAATGTGCACGAGATATATCAAGTGCAACAATGATTTAGTGCGATATATGCTGTGTTCGATACTGATGCGATTTATTTCATAACTAATGTTGATATTTAAAATCGTACTTTGATTACTTCAGAACTAAAGCAAAAGATAAATACATAAAAATTTTTTAATATTGGAATTTACAAAAATCGTGGAAATGTTAGATAAAATTCAACATAAATAGAAGCAAATCTTTTAGCAATTTTTGCAGCAACCGTATTATCAGAGATTAAGTTTAAAACATTTTTTAAGTCAGATCAATTATTAAAGATTGAAAATTGCAGATAACAGATTACAATTCAAAGCAAAATACATTAAAATTAAAATTGCTTGATTAGTATAATTTCAATCTCCAATTCGTAAATTCAGCCTATAAAATCTAGTCTGATATGGATTTATTGAAATTTAATCAAAAATCTTTTATTGAGACATAATTGAATTACAATTTCATACATTTAAGTTTTTTAAACATCACTTGCAAGTGTAATACAGGGAAATGATAATATAACATTGTAAATTATGAAAATTTATCAGTGATGATGCTGCTGGTGAAGCATTTTTGTGTGCTAATTTTGTAAATTAAGAATATATAAATATACTGCATAACATTCAAAATATTTTACGAACAAAAATTTTACAGACAAAATATTTTATACGTATAAATACATATAAAGGTGTACCTTCTTATTTCTGCAATCAACACACACTGAAAGAAAGGTGTGTGATATTTGGATTATAACTGCATTCTAATATAATTATAATTGCGATACTCATTTTTATAGAAATTGTTAGTATAATGTCAGTAATGTAATAACCTGATACGTATAATATTGCCAAAAATAACCAACCATATAATCGGAACATCTAAAAAAATGTTCTTGGTGCCAAAAAGCAATATAAATCATGATTACTGCTATTTTTCTTTTCATTCAGTGTATCAATTGCATTTATCACGACATCAATAAATTCAGCACACAAGGATTTCTTTCGTATAGTAATTATTTAAGATACAACTAATTAAATATATAATATTTCTTTAAACATTATTTGTTTTAAGGATCAGTTGTAACATGTCTAATACAGAGTTCCATTGCTATGCAAAGTGGCCGTGAGATGTCACCGCGTCTTTCGATATATCAGTTGGATAGACTTGACCGACGTATCAATATTTACGTTTAAAAGAAAAACTATATCATGTTTCTTCCTTTACTTCCTCCTATCGACCACTTTTCGGTATAAAAGCTCCTGTATGTAAGCCTCGTATTTAGTTATCTGCGGCTAGTCAGTTAAAACAGACACAATGTCAAAATTTGTCTTAACGAAAGACAATGTGTGGGATTATTTTGAAGAAATTCCCAACAAAGATCTAGCAAGTTGCAAGAAGTGTGGAGAAAGATTTGTCTACACCATAGATTCAAGTATTTTAAAACATTTGCGTGGACAAAAACATCAAAAATATTTCAACGATGCAGCAAAAAGAAACGTTAGCGATAACCTGGATATATATTACACTCCACAAGATACAGCATGTACCATTTGTAAAATTCATGTTTTGCGAAAAAATTTGGACCAACACATCAAAGATTTTCATCCTCTAAAAAAACTGGCACATTATGAAGCAATGAGAACTAAAATGGAACATATAAGAAAAGTTAGTAATTTTAAGTTGATGTGCGAACTGCAGAATTGTAACTCAGGTATAACTCTTCAAATACATCCTAATATAAATCGCCATTTACAAGAAAAGCATCCGAATGAATTAAAAAATATTGAAACGGACGCAACGCCAACTGCGGTCACAAATAAAGAAGATGTATTGCGCAATTACATATTACACAGGCCTCATCGTTTTCAAGCACAATGCAAGTTTTGCAATTTTAATGAATATTATGTCCAGACTGAAAATTTTCGTAAACATGTACAAGAAGATCATAACGTAGTTTTATTACACGAAAATGCAAAGAAAGGATATCCGTGGAAACATTTCAAGTATTTTGAAGAAAACATATTACAATGTAATCTTTGCCAAGGGTTGCATATTGAAAACGTTATACAAGATAAGCTAGCAAAACATGTATTTAAAATCCATAGAGATATACATAACAAAACTTTTATGCACCGAAACGGCACTGATTGGACCCAGAAATATTGTGACTTCAGCGATGATTTTCAAGTGCGATGTTATTTTTGTAACAAAGAAACGGAACTGGATATTGAATTTACAAAATTAAACGACCATATTGTAAATACACATTCGAAAGAGCCACCAAGTACGAAAAGACAGTATGAAACAGCTGGACCGTCAGGAAGCCAACCACAGAAAAAAAAAAGTAAGCAAAAAGATAAGTGACAGTAAGTTATATTGTTAATACAATTATATACGTGCATATAATTAATTTTAACTTTGTCGAGTCGCGTTTAAGTAGAACAAATGCAAACAATAGTCAGATAACATGTTTCACCAGCAAATATTTATAAATTTTATATAGGTTCATCGTAAAGGGAATGATGCTAACGACGATCATGTAGCACGACAACAAGGCACTCGACAAAAAGCAATCTTGACTTTGGTAATTGAAACAATTTATAATATGCGCAGAAAAAAATGTATCTCTTACGTGTAATAGTTCGTTTTATGTTTATGAAATTATAAATACGTTTATAAATTGACGCTTTAGAAATTGACGCTTTATAAGAAAAAAAATTAAGTTTTATTTTTCGAATTTATAAAATATATTTGATATATTTAATATATTTGATATATTTTGCTTATATGTAATCTGTCCTAAATTTATAAACTATGATTATAATTCCACAAAATAAAAGAATCTTATAAAGTAACAGTCGACTCTTCGGTTCCGAGACAAAATTTGTTAATAAGTTATTGAACCCAATATTTCAGTTTAATTTTCATTTCTTACAATTCTATGTGTATCTTGGTCGTACATGAAGCCTGAACATTTATTGTACTTTAGATAATTTAAATTTATTATGACTCCTTAGTTATTATTATATTATTAGAGGTTTTCGAACTACAAATAATATGAATGTAATAATAATTATGGTAAATTACGAGTATGTCAATTTAAATTCAGCAGTTATACTTAGCTTTTCGAATTGATAATGCTTTAAGTATAATAACAAAATACATTTGTCATTAACAAAATGTATGCTGTAACACATGTAAGATGATTTCTTTATACAATTGAAAAATATTCAACACAAATGCTTATTGCATCGTTTGGCAATTTTATTAATAATTTTTTATTTATTTGTTTAATAACACAATCAGAAACTAACGTCTATCAGTTAAATTCGATAATCATACAAGATTTCTCAAATGTTTGTAGCTATCGAAAATCTGCGAAAACAAAATATTATAACAACAAATCTTTTTAATTATTATAATTCAAAATATAATTGAAAAAGTTAAAACGGTTCAAACGACTTTTAAATTAATTGTGTTTGAAATTTTATAATTATTTATGATTAAAGATAGAAACTGCGATCATGACACTTCATAAAACTAAAACTTAAACACATTAACAGCATAATGTAAGCAAATGTATAAATAATGTATTAAATCTTTAAAGTATTACAAGTATCTATAAAATTGCATCATTTAATTATTTTAATATTACGCTGATGTAAAATTTTTTAGATTACTTGTTTAATACTATCAATGCTTGCATGATGTTCAGTTTGCGGTACATAATGTTGAATATGGACATAAAGGATTTTTCAATTCATAGTAATTTAGTATAATTAATAGTATAATTATAATTAGACTAAGTGTAAATGTTAATACATGGCATGTAATAATTATTGTTATACTTAAAATACATATGCATGAAAGGAAAACGCTTTATTTAATTAATTTATACAAAAATATTTAGTATGCCCATAGAAATAAAAAAGTTTTGACCCACATTGTATATCTATACATAACTTTAAGTAGCAGTAAAAGAAAAATTTTAATTTGCATGCAATTTAATTTTCAAAAAATTATTCTTCGTCGTGTATAAATCTTCAATGTTATGTTTACGTAATAAATTATTATAATGTTTTCAATATATAAAATGTTTCGCAATGTAAAAATTATATATGTTATTTTTTTCTTCATATTCTATTAGTAACATTTTGCTCTGAAGTAACACAAAAAGTTGTGTTTTTTTTAAATCGATTTCTGCGAAATATTTAATCATTGTCATGTGTAAGAAATGCGGGATAAAATTGTTCAATTTACTCGAACGCTACCTGGTTTAATAAATTGTTTCGTAACGATAATGATTATCTGATAATGTAATCGTGCAGTTTATGCAAAGTAACAGTAAAACAAAGCCACGTTCTTGCACAGAGATTTTCAATTCGTAAGAAGAATTTCTGCTTTCTAGTAGAGATCCGCGAGAAATTGCGTTTAAAAAAATTCCATAAATTTTATTATAACGTAAAGAAGATGTTAAATTACATGTTAAAGTAAATTAATAACAAAACTTTATTAAATTATTTTCGGAAAATTACATGCTTTATTTGTGTAACCTGAATAAATATTTTTCCAATAACGATAAATTTCTTTTAAATTTTTGGTGCATCTTGCTAAATAAAATAAATTAATAACTAAAAAGTGATTTTATAAAACCAAAGTAGTATAAAATAAATTAAAAAATAAAAATTACATAATAATAATAACATTATATTAATAAAATATATTACAAAATAAAAAATTAACTTTGATAAATTTTGCATATGTGAATTACGTTAGTGTTTTATTGGCTAAATATTAAAAATAATCGTATTATTAAAGACTTAATTTATTATATTAAAATTATATTTTTATTATCTTTCGGTATAAGAAATAAAAATGAAAGTTTAGTTGAAAATACAACCAAAAGTACAACTGTGAAACACCAATAGTCATTTTATTACATGAGCTGGTAGAGCTAAAAGCTAGAATTTAATACCCGCAATTATTATTTACGTCATATAGAAAAACCACAGACGTTTCGGCCTTGGCCGTAAGCCATCTTCAGTGTTGAAGGTAAACAAACAATTTTTCGATAAACGATCTAGAAGTAACAACGCAACGTCTTTGAAAAGTTTTACATTTAACACCACTTAATACATATTTAAGATTGATCTCAAACGCAATTCCTTTGGTTATATAATTTCTATCGTTGTCTTTATATTCTGATTTTTCAATCTCGAGGTTGGATAAAAAAACCGTGTTTTCTTAATTTGATTTCTTTGTAGTCATCTACTCTGATGCCTAATTAAAATTTAAACCATATTGACCGCACCAATGTTTTCAGTGTGTTTTAATTACACTACGTTTATCAAAAAATGTCCAAAAAGCGTCACCTCATGTTTCGCAACTAGTGACAGTAGTTGTTTAGAATTCTCAGTAAATACAATGTTATAAAATAAAGCCGACTTGATGAGTAAGAATATGAAGTTACGAAAAATGAGGCGATGCATTTCAGACACTGTTTTATAAATATAATGTAATTCAGACACACTAAAAACATTGGTGCGGTCAATATGGTTTTAATTTTAATTAGCAACGGCATCAGAATACATAACTATAAAAAAATCAAATTAAGATATAACATTCGGACAAAATGTTTTATAGATATAGATACACATAAAGGCGTACTTTCATATTTCTGCAATCAACATACACTGAAAGAAAGGTGTGTAATATTTGGATTATAACTGCATTCTAATATAATTATAATCGCGATTATACTCATAAAAAATATTCTTGGTACCGAAAAGCAATATAAATCATGATTACTGTTATTTTTCTTTTCACTCAGAGTATCAATTGCATTTATCACAAAATGAATAAATTATCAATAATTTCGACATTACAAGTATTTCTTTGATATAGTAATTATTTAAGATACATTTAATTAAATATGTAATATTTCTTTAAATATTATTTGTTCAAAGGATCAGTTGTAACATGTCTTGTACACAGTGCCAGAGATATGCAAAGTGGCCGTGAGATGTCACCGCGTCTCTCGATATCTGTTGGATAGACTTGACCGGCGTAGCAATATTTACGTTTAAAAGAAAAACTATGTCATGTTTCTTCCTTTACTTCCTCCTATCGACCACTTTTCGGTATAAAGGCTCCTGTATGTAAGGCTCGTATTTAGTTATCTGCGTCTAGTCGGTTGAAACAGACACAATGTCAGAATTTACTTTAACGAAAAACAATGTGTGGGATTATTTTCAAAGAATTCCCAACGAGAAATTTCGAGCAAAGTGCAAGAAGTGCGAATCAAGTTTTAAGTACATTAATTATGGAAATTTTCAATTACATTTACGTCTTAAACATAAAAAATATTGCATCGACGCAGTAAAGAAAAATGTAATAGATGGACCGGATATATATTACGACGAATTATTGTCAGCATGTTTTGTTTGTAAAAAGTAAGTTCCGTACGAAAATTTTCGCAATCACATACAATCACATTCTGCAACAGAAGTGGTACATTATAAAACGATCAGGATTAAAAAAGAACATAACACACAAATTGGTAATTTTGAGGTGAAGTGCAAACTGGAGAATTTGTAATAAAACTATACCTCGTAGTATTCCAGCAACATTATTAAAAAATTATTTATCAAGATGCATGTATTAGAACGAATTGAAAAATATGCAAACGGACGTAATGTATGTGCTAGCTAAGCTCACAGATATACTAGAAGTATCGAAAAATTACAAATTTCTAGAGGGAAAGTTTCAAGCAAATTGCAAATTTTTAGGATGCAATTTTCAAGGATGTTATATCGACTACAAAAACTTTATCCAACATGTAACGGAACATCATCAAGAAGTTTCTTCATACAAAGAAAGAAACGGAGAAGGATACCCGTGGATGTATTTCATGCCGAAAACGCTTCACAATGTCTTCTCTGTCAAGATATTACTGTAGCGGCTCGTGACGACTATTTACAACTTTAAAAACACATTTTGACACATTCCCTTTTGACCATTACGATATTAATTGGGTAAGCAAATACTGTACAAAGAGTGATGATTTTTACATGCAATGTCGTCTTTGTTCCATCGCAATAACACTTGATGTTGAATTATAGGATTTAAATCACCATATTGAGAGTACACATCTGAACAAGCCGACAAGCACGATAAGAGCGTGTGACATAGCTGGACCGTTCAGGAAGTCAACGAAAGAAGAAAAAAAGTAACAGTAAGTTTTATTGAAATTTTTGTTAATTATACGTACATATAATTAATTTTGACTTTGTTCGAGTCGCGTTTGAGCAGAACAAAATCAAACAATAACCAGACAACTTGTTTTACAAGCAAATATTTATAAATTTTATAGATTTATCCAAAAATGAATGATGCTAACGGCGATCATGTAGCACGACAACCAGGCATCACGACAAAAGGCAATCTTGACTTTGGTGATTAAAACAATCAATGATATGCAAAGAAAATAACGTATCTCTAACGTGTAATTATTCGTTTTATGTTTATAAAATTATAAATATGTTTATAAATTTACGTATTATGAGAAATTCGAAGTTACATTTTTGGAATTTATTATGTATGTCTAACATATTCAATTAAGTATATTTGATATATTTTGCTTATGTGTAATCTGTCTTAAATTTATAAACTATGCTAATTTTATAAAGTAAAACAATTTTATAAATTAACAATCGACTCTTCGGTTCAGGGACAAGATTTGTCAGCAAGTTATGCAACACAGTCACAATATTTCAGTTTCATTTTTATTTCTTATATTTTTATGTGTACTTGGTCGTATGTGTAGCCTGAATATTTATTGTACTTTATATAATCTAAATTTATTACAACTCGTTACTATTATATTATTAGAGGTTTCCAAACTGTGATATAATAATTATTATTGGTAAAATATGTCAATTTTATTTTTTTAGTTGTATTTAGCCTGTAGAATGCTTTCAGTATAATAAAAAAATAAACTTGTTAACAAAATGCATGCTTTTAAAACGGGAAGAAAGGTCTTCTGCTTTCCAGTAGAGGTCCGCGTGAGATAGCATTGTAAAAAATTCGATAAATTTACGCAAATAGGATGTAAAAGTACACAATTAATAACGAAAATCAGACGCTACGAAGACATATGTTATCTCGTTGGAAGATGGATTATAACCTACATCGTAAAAAGTTTTTAAAATTTATGAAAGTAAATATATAATGCGCTACCACCATATCACTTTAGTTAGCAGAATTAATACGTTGCAATATTTGACACAATACTCGAGCAATGCATTTTCTCACGCAGTGTGCCGTGTCACGCATTACGCGGCAAAATAATTCATGAATTCGCGGGCACGATTAAACGAAATCGAAATCGATGCTCAAAACGCAGTGATCGTTCGTCATCGAAATGAGTGCGGTGCTCTGGCGCAGTCAGTGAATAATTCGAGTCCATATGCAGTGCATGTTCAGGAAATTGCGTTGAATTAAGATACAAGATGTATGAAGCAGCGATAGTGCAGAGAAGTAGTTAATATTACAACAAAATTGAAATGTAATATTTTATTCGATTTTGAACAAATAAACGTATGGTGGTAGAAATATTAAATATTGAAAAGTACAAGTCATTTTCTTGTATTAAAATTCATTATGCATAAATTGCACATATAACCTGCAATAATTATTTTAATATACAACATTATGCTGCGAATAGTTTCCAAGACATCAAAAAATTATTTTATAGACATTTGTATTACTAGCATTAAAAAACAATTAGTGTTATGTATAAAATTAGTATTCATACATACGATTTATTATTACGCAAATTGACGTACTGAAATGACGAAGGCAAACGTGGGAAATCGTTATAGAACAAAATGTCCCTCATACGATTTCACAGGAATTAAATCGAATCATGCGTATCGGCGACAAAGTCACGATGTGTTGACTGCAAAGTTACATCGCCGGAAACACCTATGCTAAAAATCCCCGAGAGATACAATCGCGTAATTCGTGTTGACTTTTCAATTTTTCAGTGCGTGGGCCGAAGACTCTCTTTTGCGTCCTCGTCGGCGAATCGGGTTCCATTAGCGCGATTACCGCGATTCATATCGAGATTCGGTCGCGGCGATCGTAGTGCCGCCTCGCAAATAATTTATGCGACCGTGTCGAGAGGAGGACGAGAATCTCTTTTCTCTTTCTCGCCTGCTCTTTTTTCCCTCTCGCTTCGTGTTTTCTCAATGCATCCCTCTCGCCCGTTTTGCTTTTATTCCGCCGGAGTCACGGACGCGCCAAGGCGAAACGACTCTCTCTCTCTCTCTCTTTTGCGATTTAATTAGCGCGCGGATTAAGCACCAGCGTACCGATGTACACCTCGCTGGTGCAGAAAAAGCCGTCTGCGAGTCCTGTCGGAGACGATTCCGGCGAGAGGAGCGACCTGCTGAATTATGCGCGCGGCCTTTTTCGTTCATCTCGCTGTGGCTTCTGTGTGGCAAAAGCGACTTCTCATTCTCGTCCTCACGCTGTGAAATTCACGCGGTAAGCTAGTGCTACCTCATACATAAATCTAAATAAAAATAAATTACGGCAATAGAGCTTTGACCTCCTATCACGCTTACTGTGAATCTATGTATTATTTTACGAAAATTAATATACATAGAGTGCGCGCACAGAATTATTTTCATAAATATATGATTATTTCTTTATGTAAATATCCCTTCTGTGTAACAATCTTCATTGTGATTTTGCATTGAATCTTGCGAAAAGAAAGTAGTAAAAATTTCAAACAAGTACGATCAAACGAAGAAGTCTGTGATAAGCGTAGTATTTAATAAAGGTACGGAATGTGAAAGTTATTTTTAACAATTTTGTATGTAAATTTTTGTGATACGGCGATACAAAGCCCTTTCTGGCCCGGTCGTGTTGATTTCAAAGCCACGTCGCCCGGAAATTAAAGCCGGTGGTTGCGCGGGAACTCGCCTCGTTGCTTCGACACACCTAGGCACAATACCCTTCATTAGCAAATATTTTGAACGCCGCGAAAAAGCCGTATCGAAAATCGTTACGGCTAGCCGCGCGATAGACGGGAAAGCGTACGCACTCGCCGCGTATTTCCCGATTAAAATAAAACAAACGAGCCGCGGCGGCGATCCGTTCGATATCCTCTAACGAGGATCGGCGTTTCAGCTGGTTACCAATGATATTGGATTTCACGGCGCCCAAAGCCCTCTTCTAATGCAGCGATTTATAAAAAAAAATTTTTTGCCTGATCTCCCTATCTCTAGCTGCTAGTTTCACGTTGTAGCGACAAATTTTAAATGCAGATAATAATAAAGTCACTTGACATAATACGCACAAAGTGGCGTAAGAAGAACTTTTCAGATTGATCTTTCGAATTTTCAATTCTTCCGACGAAAGTCTACGGGAGATTTCACAGCTTTATGCGTCACAGTTTAAACGATTATGGTTTATTATGGAACTTTTTCTCATGTAAATATTGAACATAATATATCGTATGCAATATTTTTCGTATCACATCTCACGTAACAAAATTTCTACAATCTGATAACTGCTGAAGCGTTTCCTACAAGCTATTCTTTAACGGTTGAGTCCTTTCAGTTATTCTCAAAACGGACGGAATTAACATACAATATAAGATCTAATAGACGTGACTCTAATTGGAATCCCTTACACACAGCAAAACACGCGCGCGCGCGTGCGTCTTCTATGAAACATTCCCAGATTACTCGAGCAGCCGACGCGTCGCCCTTTAATTCTATGACAAAGGTGCTCACCATTCACCGCGTCATTCTTACGAGACACTCTCTCGCATCGGCCCTCGAATTTCCCGAGTACGACGTCGCCGACAATGCGAGTCGAGTCGAGAGTCTAAGTGACCGTAGGGACTAGGGGAGAAACCAGGAAGATGATGAAAGATAGGCAAAGGGCCAACGGTAACTCCGCTGGAGTTGGGGGACTGACTAGCGCAATTAAAGCCGAAGAATCTTTCCAGGAGATAAGACAGCCGCCTGACTAGTCATGAGAGAAAGAGAAGAAAAAGGCTCGTTGGGTCCTCCATGAGAGGCCCGGTAAAAAATGTCACGCGGTTCTTTAATTAATGATATTGGCAATTACCGCGAAAGTTCGACGCCATGATTTTCGGAGTTTCTAGGACGAAGAAAGACGCGATAAGTTCTTCGATATTTCTCTCTCTCTCTCTCTTTCTGCTTTGCCAAGTATGTTTGCGCTTTCGAGTCTCTACGGGTTTCTTCAATTTCTTTTGATGTTTTATTCGCTGAAGAGAAAAATTTATAAAAGATTTTATGAAAAATTAATAAGTTGCAAAAATAAATTGTAACATTGAATGTAATAACTTTAGTTTCCTTCAAAAGGATACAAAGTATTGATATTATTTTGGATAAATTATAATGGTTCCAATCTTAATTTACTATATTGGGAGAATATTTTTAATTTGAAAGTGAATAATATCGCAATCGTAAATCGTTTTAATAATAATAATACAATTTTAATTCCTTTACGAATGACAGCTATCTGTCATTTACTTAGTCAAATTTTCTCGCGTAATGACGTCAAAAATTATATAATATTTCCATTTATAAACTTGATGAAATTGATCTGCGGTTAATTGAATAGAGATTTCAGAAAATAAAGGCCAAATTTTCTTCATAATAAGTAGATTCCGAAAAATTTGTCATCACTATCTCGCACAGACTATCGATCACTCGCAGCACAAACATAATATCATTGGTATTATATCGGGTTTAAACCAGAGTGTAACGTAGTTTGAATAAATTTTGGCGCCATTCGAATGGCAATGAGACAATGTAACCCGCTCGCCGGATTATTAATCAGATTCAGATTCGTGCGAAGTAATGGCCGACACCGAGTGTGTTTCGGGGCGTAGTCCAAAGTTGGCGAACTACCGCCGCAGGATCCTTCCTATGCAACTGCGCTCGCGCTACCGGGGCATTCCGTCTGACTATACAGTAATTAATCCCGCGTTTCGCCCTGCAACTTGACGCACTCGAGTTCAAGGGGAATCCCAGACGTCCTGAGAATTACGACTCGAGACGCGCCAGCGAATGTATGTAAGATCTACGCGTGTGTCGCCATTAAAACTACAAACTAACACCGAACCATCCTTTGATGATACACGAGATGTCCCAAAATTAATTTGCTTAACAAATTGTCATAAATTCTTCTTTTTCTAAATTTTATTTAATCATTTCGCATTTTATATTTATATTTCTCCGTTTTTTTTCCCCCCCTAAAATAATCTGTATTTTGAACTAATTGCAAGGTTTTGCTTTAAAGAATTTAAAATATTTTATACAGAGGCGTTAAAATAAACGATAAACGTTTTCCAATACTTATATCAGATACGCGACACGATGCAAAGTCGTTAAAACTCGAGTCATCTGACTCATCTAAAGTGACGCGAGTACACTAATTTGCGCGCAATCGTCGGCGAGCAGAAATTTTTGAGGGTTCGCGAAGCTCCGCGGGATTTAATTCCAGCGCTATCGACCCCTCTCTCTCTCTCTCTCTACCACTCGCGCGCCGCGATCTTCCTCGCCATTCCGTTCTATCGATCAGGCTACTCCGCAGACTGCTCTCATGCAAACACACGAGACACGGGGGCGAATACGGTGAAACTGCCGGTATCTGCGATCGTTGCAGGCAGTAACAACGGCAGTTAATGTCCGGAGGCCCGTACCCGGGTACTTCGTAACCCAATGAGCAGATACAATCGGAACATAGATTAACTGCAATATAGACCTCTGCCTCCACCGAGATAGTCCTTGCGCGGAGAGAAGCGGCGAGAATGCGCCGATATGTTACGCAAACGATTCGTAAAATAACTTGATT